ATTATAGCAATGCTCTGACTCTCTGGTTCTTAATTAGTAACAATACTTCCCAACACTCAGCCTGTCCAGAGAACTAGACAGGCGTGTACAGGGCTGTGTGTGTGAGAGAGAGGGAGAATGCATTTTTATTTTGCTAACAATTTGAAGAAAGACACTATTGGTATTCAACATGCAGGAGTCAGGAATACTACAAGCTCAACAATGTCATTTACATATTCTGTCTCACCTAAAAAATGCCAAATGAAGCCCCACTTAAGACAAATCACCTATGGCCGGCGCCAGTGGCTCACGCCTGTAATCCTAGCTACTCAGGAGGCTGAGATCTGAGGATCGCAGTTCAAAGCCAGCCTGGGCAGGAAAGTTCGTGAGACACTTATCTCCAATAAACCACTCAGAAAAACTGGAAGTGGCACTCACTGTGGCTCAGGTGGTAAAGCGCTAGCCTTGATCTGAAGAGCTGAGGGATAGTGCCCAGGCCTAGAGTTCAAGCCCCAATACTGACAAAAAACAACAACAACAAAAATGTAAGAGGAGCTGGAAGTATGGCTTAAGTACAGGAGTACCTGCCTAGTAAGGCATGAGGTTCTGATTGCAAACCTAAAAAAAATACTGTGAAAAAGAAAACCCAGTAACTGATTTCTTATATCTGCTCTTAGCTCTCTCTAAACTGCAGCAGAGCTTTTTAAAAATGCAAATCAGATGATGCCTCTCATATGTTTAGTACCCTTTAATAGCTTTCCTTTACCCTAAAGATAAAGGTCAAATTCAAAGTGTGATTTAAAGCTCCTGCCTTCCTCTCCAGTTTCATCTCATGCCACTCTCCTCCTCTGCCCATATTCACTATGCTTTCTGTAGACATTCAGTCAACAAATACTGATTAAATATCTGTGTGCCACCAACCAGTCAACAGAGTGATGGGGATGTAACAGTGAGCAAGAGGCACACTGTCTTCCTGGCTTCTATGGAGATACAAGGCCTCTCCACAACATGCTGCTTCTGTGCTAGGTCAATTTCTCCTTCAGATTTCAGATTATTCATTTCTCCCCAGAAACATACTTTACCTCACTCTGAACTGTTTACTGTTACTCAATGCTACTGAAATTATTTGTCCAAGAGCTATCTTTTCAGGGACATCTACACTTGGCACATGCTTGTAATCCCAGCCACCCAGGAGGTGGAAATGGGAGGACTACAATTTCAGGCCAGCTCAGGTTAAAAAAAAAAAAAGCCAGCAAGACCCTCTCTCCATAAACAAGCCAGTGTGCCATTTATACCTGTAATCCCATCTATTTAGGAGGTGATGTAGGGGGAACATTGTATGAGGCTGGCCCAGGCAAAGGCACAAGACCCTAACAAAACCAAACTGAATTAGAGAGGCTAAGTTCTGAGGATTGTGATTCCAAGACAGCCCAGGCAAGAAAGATGACTCTTACATCCAATTAACCAACAAAAAGCCAGAAGTGGAGGTATAGCTTAAGTGGTACAGTACCAGTCTTGAGGGAAGGAGACCATTCTGGCCCTGAGTTCAAGCTCCCCCATTCCTCCACTCCCCCACAAAAAAAAGAAGTACAAGAAAATTCTTCACATTCCCAGGATCTGGCACATAGAAAATACTCAAAAATATTTGTTGTCAGGCACAGGTGGCTCACACCTATAATCTTAGCTAATCAAAGGCTGAGATTCAAAGGATCATGGTTTAATGCCAGCCTGGAAAAAAAGAGTCCATGAAACTCCAAATCCAAAGTAGCCAGCCAGAAGCAGGCCTGGAGACATGGATCAAGAGGCAGAGCACCAGCACAGAAAGCAAGCCAAGCAAGTGCAAGGCCCTGAATTCAAACCCCAATATTGAAAACAAAATGTAGGAGTGGGGCATGGTTCAAGTAATGTAGCACTTGCACAGCAAGTAGGAGACTGAGTTCAAACTAAGTACTTTATTATTGATGAAGATGTGTGTGTGTATATATATATATATGCATGTATACATATACTTTATGAATATGTGTAAATACATTAATGTCTATATTGTTTCTATGTGTGACAATACTTATGAAAATACGTGTATACACATGTATGTAAGGCTATATACCTAAAATTCTGGGTGCATTCATTCACAAGTACACAAGTATATTAATGCATGTATGTATGCATGCATGTGCATGTATGCATTTTTCTAGACCCTCAGTGACAGCTCTAACCTCCTGGAAGGAGCTGGAAGCAGAGCCTCGAGACTACTCTAAGCTGACAGTTCAATAAAAGTCTAAGATCATTCAATGACATTCCAAATGTCAGCAAACACTGGCTTGATCCACTTTGCTACAGGGAAAGTAGGTAGAGGTGGGAGACATGGAAAGCTGGCTGCTGAAAAGTTCCTCTTTCTTGATGCTGCCCACACCATTTCTCAATAGAGGGCATGAGAAAGACACTTTATCTCTTCTCAGTTTAGAGTTGTTGGGAAACTGGAATGGTAGTTCAGTCCCAGATGCTTACGTAGGTCTACGCCTAGAATGATGTGGCTAGAGGGCAGAAGAAAGGGTGAGAGACTCCCTTGTCCTTTCAGACCTGGTCAGTTTACCTCCTAAGAGGAAAACACTGTGTCAGTAGAGTCCTGGGTTGGCAATGTGCCTTAGTAGTAGTGCTTGCTTAGCATGCATGAAACCCTGGGTTCAATTTCTCAGTACCACATACACAGAAAAAACCTGAAGTGGCGCTGTGGCTCAAGTGGTAGAGCACTAGCCTTGAGCAAAAGAAGTTCAGGGACAGTGCCGAGGCCCGGCCTGAATTCAAGACCCAGGACTGGCAAAAACAAACAAACAAACAAAAGAGTCCTCAGTGTCCCTTGTTGGGTGCCCACACCCTCCTTCTATAGCTTGATAGTCTGAAGGAGAGCCAAGCTTAAGGGGCTCAGAACAGCCAACCTCTACTCCCACCCGTTAGCCCAGCGGCACTAAGGTAGCCCTGAATGCAATGTTACCACATGGGTCAGCTATTCTCCTGCCTTTCTGCCAAGGGACCTAGAGGCGGGCAGCTATCCACACACCAAAAAGTCTAGTGAACTTCACAGAGTAATTGTTCATGGTCAGTGCCTGCCTCGCCTGGCCGGGCCTTCACATTACATTTGCTGAGACCGGCATGCAGTTTGAGATGAGCTCTGACAGCTGGCATGCTGTCTTGTAGGAGCGCATGCCTAACCTCACCAAGCCCCGCCTGTATGGCACTAGTTCTCAAAGACAAGCTGGTCAGTCAGCAATTACTCACTAAGCACACACTGTGTACCCAACCCTGATCTCACAACCAGGACACAGACTCAGTCCCTATGCTCTAGACAGGCATGTCCAGAAGGAAACACATATCAGCTCTGTTTAACTGATATCCCAAGTATAAGGGGCCTCAAGGCAAAAGAAGAGATATCTGAATAGAATCTTCAAGGAGAGGCAATATGATGATGATGGCTGTGGCACATTTCAGGCAGAGGAAGAGCACAGGCTAAGGTTAGATATAGGACAGAGCCTAGACTCCTCAGGCAAAGATAGAAGTAGTGGGAGTAGTGGCTTAGCTGCATAAGTGATCAGCAGGAGAGAGGGGCAGAGGTCAAAGAACAAGTAGAAGTGCTAAGGACCTGTATACCAGAGGAAAGCAAAGAATGTTACCACAAACCAAGGAACCAAGTCCGTAGTCATTCTCAGTGTAGACCTTTCTTTCCTACTGCTCCATATGCTCCTTTAGCTCCAGCTACACATGAAAAGTATCTGTACTCCTACAATATATGCCTAGAAAGCATTCTCCTGGTAACTTGACACATCTTCTTCATTCCACAGTTTAAGATCCAAATCCTCACAATATTTACCCTGATTCCTTAATGATCTCTTTTCTGAGCTTCCAGGAGCCCTCACCATGGTGTCTGGTGTGTTTTACCTTTATCCAACTTCCTAGGAGCTCCTAAGCTAACCCTTGGCATGAGATTTTTTGAGGCTGCTCCAGGAAAAGAATGATTGTCTTTGGGATGGGAAGGTGGCTCAGTGGTAGAGCGCTTGCCCTGCATGCATGAGGCCCTGGGTTCAATTCCTCAGCACCACATACGCAAAAACAAAAAAGCCAGAAGTGGCGCTGTGGCTCAAGTGGTAGAGTGCTAGCCTTGAGCTGAAGAGCTGAGGGACAGCGCCCAGGCCCAGAGTTCAGGCCCATGACTGGACCAAAAAAAAAAAGAATGATTGTCTTTATATCAGATTCATTTATGGAGGGTCGGTCTCCTGTAGACCAACTCTACCACATCAAGGATCTCAAGAGCAAGATCTGGTGAGTCTACTTTATACATCCTTTCTTCTGCTCATGTAGGAAGTATAGCACTAGTAAAACTAGAAAAGCACAGTTTTCTAAATAATTCATTCTCTATCAGAGCCATTATACTAACTACACAGCTCCTTCCCAACCTCATGGCAAGTTGCCAGGTACTTAGTGTGGGGTTAGTGCCGGGCCCTTCATTTGTGTCTGAAGGGAACCAAACTTTAGGGTCCATGAGCTTTAGGTTCCCACATGAGCAAGGCTCTACTGTAACCAGATGGACCAAAGCCAACTTGAAGAAGCCTTTCTTCCCAACTAGAGGGAAATATGAAGATATCAGGAGGCTCAGAGCACACAGTTCTAAGGACATCAAAGGAGAATGCCTTCCCAGAGGCACAGCTAGGACAACATCTCTTCTAGAGACAACATGACTCAGCCCAGAGCCTCAGCTCTGATTTAGAACCCTGGAAAATCCCCTCAACTAAGACTTCTGCATGTCTGTGTGATTCCAACTAAGACAGTGATTCATACTCTACCCAGTATCCTAGCCCCATACAGCTCTCCACTCCCAGGAATAATTATAACATTTCAGCACATATTACCTAGGAAAAGAGGGAAAAGGGATGCTGAAAGAAAGAACAAAAAAAGATAACAGAGATGGAAGGGGAGCTCATAGGCACAGAATAACCAGAGCAAGGCTCTGGGTGAAGTTCAAACAGTACCTTTTTCAGATTAATCCACTGCTTGAAGTAATCTGCCACTGGCAGGCCCAAGTACTGGCACTGTCCTGGGAGCCTACAAGAAAGAGAAGAGAGAATAAGTTGGATGAAAGGATGGAGTCTAAAGCTAGAAAGTCCAATACATGACAAAACAGGTTTCAGAAGCTAACGCTTTAGCCATGGGTTTTTGTCACCAAGAAAGGGATTCTACCTCTAGCACCATAAACATAACTCTAGAACCTTCCCTAACATTCAAATGTGTGTGCCTGGAGACCCCATCAAAATAGTATCAGTAGGCCAGGTACCAGTGGCTCATAATCCTGGCTACTCAGGAGGCTGAAATCTGAGGATTGAGGTTCAAAGTCAGCCTGGGCAGGAAAGTCCATGAGATTTTTTAAAAATCTCCAATTAACCACCAGAAAACCAGAAGTTGTACTGTGGCTAAAAATAGTAGAGTGCTAGCCTTGAGCAAAAGAACTCAGGGACAGAGCTTAGACCTTGAGTTCAAGCTCCACAAGTAACAAAATAGTAATAATAATATCAACAGGTAATGTTTTCTGAAGACCTATAGTATGTCAAGTGCCTTACTTACATGCTTCATATTTAATCTTCAAAATGATGCTGTGAGGCATGAACTGTTATCTATGTTTTATAGAGAGGAAAAGGAGATTGAGAGACGTTATCCAATATCCCACAGATCAAAATCGATAGTACTGGGGCTGGGAAGGTGGCTCAGCGGTAGAGTGCTTGCCTTGCATACATGAGGCCCTGCGTTCGATTCTTTAGCACCACATAAACAGAAAAGGCCGGAAGTGCTAACCTTTTGTTGAAGAGCTCAGGGACAGCGCCCAGGCCTCGAGTTCAAGCCCCACAACCAAAACAACAACAACAACAACAACCCCCCCACAAATTGATAGTACTAAAAACTGAACTTAGTTCTGTCTGACCCCAAAGCAGAGAGGCAGAGATACAAAGCAGGAGGAAAAAAAAACAAAAACAAAACACATGATATATAGATAGATGGGCAGGGACTTTTCAAAGAAGCAGAGTCTCTCTCAGAGAGTCATGAGGTAAACAGTCCTCCTTCACTGCATGCTGTGGCATCATGGACTGAGTTGCCACAGGCCCAAAGCAGCAAAGACAAGTGACCATGGACTAAAACCTCTGAAACCATGATGTTCCAAAACAATTGCCTGTTTTAAGATGATTCTCAGGTACTTTGTCACAGTAACAGAGAGCTAACATTGATCCCAACAAGGGGAACAGTGGAGCCAAGTTAAAGACTGGTACCATGGTTAATGCTATGGCTTACCATATTGGAAGTTCACGTGTTAGAAACATAATGCTCAATGCAGGTGGCTCATGCCTGTAATCCTAGTTACTCAGGAGGCAGATATCTGAAGCCAGCCTGGGCAATAAAGTCCTTAATACTCTTATCTCCAATTAACCAGCAAAAAGGCAGAAGTAGAGCTGTGGCTCAAGGGATCAGAGCACTAGCCTTGAATGAAAAAGCTAACGGACAGTGCCCAAGCCCTGAGTTCAAGTCTCAGTACTAGAATACACACACACACACACACACACACACACACACACACTTCAGCTCCTTTTCTCTGTCTGTATCTCCCTCTCCCCATCCCCTCTCTTCCTCATATGTACCCTCTGCCCTTCTACCTTCTACCATGGGATGATACGGCATGAAGGCCCTCCTCAGATGTGGCTTCCTCAACTTGGGACTTCCCAAGCCTTAAATGTGTAAAAGAATAAATGCCAGCCAGGTGCTGGTGGCTCATGCCAGTAATTCTAGCTACTCAGGAGGCTGAGATCTGAGGATCAAGGCTCAAAGCCAGCCCAGGCAAGAAAATGCATGAGACTCTTATCTCCAAATAATCACCAAAAAACCAGAAGTGGTGCTGTGGCTCAAGTGCTAGACTTGAGCTGAAGAGCTCAAGGACTGTGCCCAGGCCCAGAGTTCAAGACCCACGACTGGCAAGAAAAAAAACACACACACACACAAAAACAACCTATTGTTTATAAATTACCCTGTCTCAATATTATGTTACAGTGGAATAAAACAGACTAAGACAGCTAGCTTTATGATACTGAGATACATATATAGTAAGAGACAATGCACAGAGAGCATACCTGCTACCCAAGGAGGCCAGTATTTGATCAACTTTCTTATTAATTTCAAGTTTTCTGCATACAGTGTATCCCTGTCTACCCAAATTGGGATAGGCTGCTCCCACAGTCCTACTCTTAGTAATCTTCTGGAAAAAGACAGGACAAATGCAGTTTTAGATAAATTCTTGATACATGGTAAACAATCAATGTTTATTGAGTCTGAGATCTGTGGAACATTTGGTAGTGGAACAATGTCTAGGAGGAACACATACACATATTTGAAGACAGATCTGGACTACAGATGATGATTCATTAATGTAAGTAAAATTAAAATCACAATAATAGATACAAGATAGCCTAGGAAGAATAATAATACAGGGTGAGGTGAGCAGACAGCCTAGGCTTATGTCTTATTTTCACTGACCTAAAATAAAACCACTTTTACCAGACGATTGCCACATATGAGAAATTCATATATCAAGCAGCAGCCAATTGTAATTTTGAACTCTAGAGAAACTTTTAAATACTAAACTAAAACTTGCCTCTTCACAACTCTCTTCTGAGTCTGAGGTATGTGAAGAGAACAAGATTACTTTCTAAGATCTGAGAGTCCAGTCTGCAGGCCACATCCCCTTACCTCTTTTCAGAGTTCTTCAAAAGACAAGGACTCACCCAACTCACTCTTTTTTAGAGTATCAGATGCCCAACCAAGGTCACACATACTCTTATGATCCCACATCACATTACCTGTAGTGAACCTAAATTATGGAAGCATACTTCCCTTTTCTGTTTATATGTTTGATACATATAAACCTATATTTAAGTTAGATATATAAACATATATGTTTATATACATACATATGTATATAAAACTTAAATCTATATCATAAAGTGGTCAAGCAAGACAAGAGCAAAGAAAACCCCAACAGATTTAGTAAGGAGGAAGGAAGTCAAAATTGATCTTGGTGAAAGGAATGTCAGTATCATTGGGCTAGACGGGAAAGGGAAGAGGGAGCCTGCAAAGTGTAGAATAGGTAAGGAATAAGAAACTCCTTTCTTTGAAAGTTTGGGTACAAGAATCCAATTGAGTCAGTTCAGCCTTCCATCCATCACCCTTCAAACACTTACCATGTCTCAGGCAGTATAGTATGTATTCACTTTTACTTCATTTTCTTTTCTTATTCTAGCAGTACTGGGGTTTGAACTCTGGGCCTTCTATCACTTGAACTATACCTCTGAAGCCCTAAGGACTCATTTTTATAAGATCCAAAATATCTTACTGAGGTATAGGTTTCATTCAAACATCCAGGTGGAACCATATTAACCATAATCAGTTAGTTTTCTGGTAGAGAATTCTGGCTGAGACCAAGAGGACGAAGGGGTACCAGAGAGGATATTCTCATGTAGAGTCAAGGACCAAGGATATGGGGATATTAGACAAAGTTTACAAGGATAAGAGGTGGCCTTAGGAGCTAGAATATAATTGTCTGGGAAGTAAAATTAATCTGGCTGAATAATTGTCTTGGTTTTTTTTTCATTTTTCTTTCATATTCCTTATTCTTGATGTTTGTGAAAATGCTTGCTGAGCTCAGCTATTTTAGAAAAATCACACCAAGGTCAAGGTGAAGAGTCCACTAGAAGCAGAATAGCATGGGAGACTGGGCAGCAAAAGGCAGGTAGTCTTTATCTTATTTTTCCCTGGGCCATTTTCAGCATCTGAGCTCTTTTCATTGTCACAGACCAGGAGTCCTATTAGCTCTGGCTAGGGCTGGAGGACAAAGGGATGTCTCTTCAGTGAGATTTCAAAAATATAGTACATACCAGCTATACACACTTCTACACAGTTAGGAAGGTTATCCCTCAGTAGGATCCTGCTTGCTCCTTTGGAGGATCTATACCAGAAGGACCACTTGGAGGACGGATTACTGGGCTAGATACACATCCATGACTGAATATAGCTCAGCAGCAGCCCTGAATGTCCTTCTACACCCATGCTGACTGAAGCATGACACAAAGGAGAATTATCAGTCTCATTCAGAAGCCTAAGAACTAACATTCAGGTTGTTGAGTAGTCCTCTGAATGTTTCGGTTTTATGGCCTAAGAAACAAGAAGTACAAATGTAGCAGGGCCTAGCCCCATCTTCATGACAGACATGGAACTAAGGGCCAACCTGAATTCCCAAGTGTCTCATGGGAAGACAGCTATATATTTCTATCACACAACTATGTCCCATATTAGAGTACACCAAGAAATTAACTATATTAGCAAGGCAGAATGGCCAGTATCCTCTACACAAAAAAAAGAAACTGAGACTCAGGGAAGAAAAAGGTTTGAACAATCATGTATCAAACCAAGAACAGAACTAGAAGTAGATGCTAAGTCTTCTGCCTGCAAAGGCTCTGGTTGTATAGATTCATTTAGAGATCTTGCAATCTCTGGGAAGGCAAAGACTCAGGCAGGTAGAATGGTGGTTAATGCTCAATGTCATCCCTTCATTTGAGGTTCTTATCAGCTGGAAGCTAGGGTCAGTGGGTACCAGTGAATATGTGATTCCATGAATTGGGGAAAGAGATGGGTGCTAATGCCTCACACCTGTAATCCTAACTACCTGGGAGGTATGTAGGCTGAGAGTAAAGGATCATGATTCAAGGCCAGCCTGCAGAAAAGTTCTTAAGATCCTATCTTGAAAATACTTAGTCAAAAGCACACCTCCATCTCAAGTAGAACATCAGCCTACCAAGTGACAGGCCCTGAGTTCAAATCCCAGTACCACCAAAAAAGAAAAAACAAAGGAAAAGGAGCAAAAGTCTCTGTGGCACAAAGAGTCTGAATGTTGTTAAGTTCCTACCAGACACCAATCACAAGAGCCACTGGCAGTGGGCCCTGGACTAGCCTGCGGGTATGAATGTGCAGGCAAATTTATGGTACCCAGGTCTCCATGCAGCTGGATTCAC